TTTTATTTGTCCATAAGGCACTGGTTGGTGCGGTGTAAGCCAAATGTTTGGCCAAGGTGTTAGCATGTCCCTAGGTTGGTTACGAACTTAAGTCGATTAACGTACGATTAGTTTTTGGAATTATTTTTTTAGATCCTCATTCACGTTTTTAAGTGAATGCTTAGAACTCTAAGTGTATCTTATTTTTGTTATTACAGTTGCCTGTTGCGTTTTACTGTGGAGTTGAGCAGGATTCTGTATTAACTGCGCTATATATTTTAATTAATCCTATCCACTTAATTCTTAAACGGTTCTTTCGTATTACATTGGTGTTTAAAAATGTAAATTTTATGATAGGATTAGCGGATTATCTCCATTTTATATTTTCTTTCAATTAAGATCTTAATTATGTTAAATAACAACACGTGCTACCTTATATAAACTCCGTTATTTAATAAGCTTTTAACGCACTTAAATAGTATTACAAATTAATATTCTTCCCACATATTCGAGAGGCTCTCGTCGTACACCTGCATAAGCCATGGTATGCACTGGCACGTACTATAAGCTAGTTAACACATACATCAGTACATATGTTAGTATCGACAAACATATGCGGCGGTGTGCTCTTGCCCGAACTTGCTTATTACACGGGCACATAGAGTAGGCAACGGTTCAGAGGCTGTCACAGTTTTCGGTGTGTTATATAATATTTTTAAGAGCGTATTTCTGAGTTTTCTACTAACCACGATGCACTATTATTGTTAAGGATTTATTTCAATAATATTAAAATGATAATATGTAGTTAAATCCGTAGCATTATTTTATCAAATCGCCAATTCAATTACGTATATTTCTAACACAAAGAATATTATGACTCAATAATAGTATAAAGTACGTAATACAAAATCTCCTTGCACGCATTTACGTATCGTATTACAACTTTGAACGATTACAATCCACGCATAAGTAGTGCATTGTTGATATTTTTAATACCAATAAAAAATCTAAACATCGGTAATGTGATTTATATACTTCTTGGTGATAGTGAAATGAAAGGATATATAATTATATTCGTTTATATCGTATATCTTCATGTTAGAATATTCTTTTTCTTTCAGACTAGACGACCGGAGTGATACCACGGCCTCACAGAAGACCGACGTCAAACAACGTTGTGTTGGGTTTCGCCGGTGTTCCGTGAGTGAGGTTACCGGAATCCCCAATAATCCTCAAATTCCTAATCCAGAAGGCCGGTAACGCACTTGTGACGCCTCTGGTGTTCCAGGTGTCCATGGGCGACGCCGATTGCTTACCATCAGGTGATCCGTCTGCTCGTTTACCGGCTTATCCCATAAAAAATACTATTTGACTATTTGTAACAAATGTAATCAAATGAACTATCATTTTCATCATTAGTGGACTACCACTAAGTATCATTTTTTGTACATTCGATACTTAAATTCAATTATCAAATGATGACAAGGAACTCTGTCACAATAATCTAGTATTCGATCTCGGTCATGAAAACTGCAGCATTTTAACTTTAATTACTACGTGTCAATATAAACAATGTATGATGCAATATGGCGTCGTGATTAACGTAAAAAAGGTGACGCAAATTCTCATTCTTTACAATAAAGACGTAGAAATAATACTGACGAAGGCGTGTCAAATCACGACTAAAAGTATAAAGTTCGCATTTACTTATACAATATAGAATACAAGAAATAAGTATGAAATAATTATAAATTATCGTTTTTTATAATCGTTACGCTTCTCTTTATAAAACGATTCGGTACAGTAAACGTAATGTACCAATGAATATAAATATTTAAATAATACTTCTGATATTATTGGTTGACTGCTATTTCTGGTAACTACTGAATAAGAGTATTTCGATCTTTAGATCTAATATAATTAATTTGTCTACCGTATGCCTCGAAGTCTCAGGTAAATAGGAGCTACCAATAAGTCTTCAGTGACTAAATTGTAATACCCCAGTGGATTTCCAAGTATGAAAATTGCGGTCGAAAAATTGGGATGATGACGGGGTATAAAAATTTAAAATCTAATTAGTCCGTAAGTTGGGTAATGAAAAAATATTAGATACGTATTATTTTATTTTGTTATATAATAAAACAGTACTCAGATAAAATATATCAAAAGTATAGGAGTGGGGGCTAAAACGTCATTTCTACGTACAAATTGTACATAGAAGTGACGTCACGTGACATTTCAAATCAATATATCGTCGAAAGTATTCGTTTCTGTAAGAAAATAAAAAATACGTGTTTAGTGATTTAAAATAATCTACCAGACGGACATTAGAATAAAAATTAGGCAACTACCCTATTGTCTATCTTTATAATATCTGTCTGCTTTCATTATTTCGTATGCAAGAGTCGCGTTGAATATCTACTCGGGAATTAACAGTGTGTTGTTTGTTATTGTGTCTATATTGTAAAAAAAACAGACATTCATTTAAATTAACTGATAACAGATTTTCTGTTTTTGTTTTAAAATTGGGACAAACCCGATGTTTTTGTAGATAGATATATTTTGTTTATCCTGAAATAATGTTGACGAAAATGAGTGCTTAACAATTGAATGATGCAATCGTGATTTATTAGTTAAGTTATATAAATATTGAATATTCATCTATCGAATAATTAATAATACCTCTAGTACTTATGTTTTACCCTAAAATGTTCCACCAATAATAGCTATACTTACATACATATTATTATGTTCTGTGTTCAAGTCCATTTTAATTCATTCAAAAGTTCTAACTCCTAATCATTTAACCGAAATCGGATTAAATCGTCAATCTATCAAGAAACCATGTAACTTTACTAATACTTACTCATAACGTTGTTTAATATATTTTATGTAACTGAACTGCAACAGTAAATCACGTGCTGAAAGTGAATCTCACGAGAGGTCAACGTGCGAATACTATTTTTAAAATAGTAAACATAATGATTAAAACAATATTATTCTTACCTCAACTTATTTGAAATCCTCTTGGATATGTTGACCAAACACTGTTGTACCAAATTCAGAATGTACGTACCACTTTAGTATGCATTGCTAACATATCAATGATTACTCCTAGCACACCTCAATTGCCGTAAGTACTTGTCCATTATCCACAAACATTCAAAATTAAACATACTTGTGTTGCATGTTTTCTTAGGACATGTTTTATTAAAACGCTTTGCAAATACAAGATTGAGATTTGATTTGTTGTCCGTATTTTTAGACCAGTTGGTTAAGGTATTTCAAACTGTATTTCGAATGACGAAACTATTTGTTTATTTTATTTTGCGTAAAATTTTCCATGAATATTTAGATTCATACACATTACACTACAAAATTCTTGTTCTTGAATATGAGCCTCTAACATGGGTTGAAACTTGTCGAGTTCACTGTCAAACAGGTGAGTAAGATGAAAACATTATAATTAATTTAATATGTGTCATGAAAGTTTTAATATATACATACAAAATTCTTTATTGTACCCATCACTGCACTATCACTGTCACTGACCATTTGAAGATAATTTTAATACTAACCAAAAAGTATATGACTACTTACTATTAAGCATTGTACTAGAAAGTCTGAATTTAACATAATCGTACTTACAGCACTTATTAATTATGACACTACAATATTTACAAACGCTTTTCCTAGTCAAGCAGTTGTTATCTCTGTTTTATCTCGGCTACTCTGTGGTCGGACGTAGCTAGGTGCTAAATGGAGTGCGCACACGCGCGCGGCATCACGCCCTGTAAGCCCCACTTTACCCTATTTGTTCTAAATGTTACATTTTACCCGCAAACACCCTCTTCCGGCGAGATTATTAGAAATATCGCCTTTTTTGTACCCGCACCCGTCCAGCTACTTTTGGGTAAATATTAATTGTGCTGAGTATGTTTTGATAGCAGAATTTAGATTCAAGGAATTTTGTAATTTGACGATTGGTTGAAATTTTTAAGCAATAGGTAGTTGACATATAAATACTTATATATTATTATTCGATATTGAAGTATGTAAACCTAATTTTATTTTGTCATATAATGTATTAGATATTCCTTTACAGTATTCGGTTAACCACATTTACTTTATAATTCATTACTTATTTATTATTAACTCGTAAGTATGTACTACTTCATTTAAATGTAATATCTATATAGGTACCTATAGTTGTATATTAAAGGGAAATAAAAATAATACAATAAATGCGAGTTAAATATGATTTAATTTCGTAATTTTTCTTAGCAATTATATTTCGTTCTCAGCATCGGAATACTTATAATTAGACACAATAATACATAAGACAGTGTCAAGTTATTATAACAAATTTATTATGTATATAAGCGCATATTTTGTTAACTATTAAACAGCACAGCTAACATATCTTGACCTCTATGAAGTTAGGCGTTAATGTGAATGAGGGAGATGTCAGTAGCGCGAAGACAGCGAGCGACAGCGACAACGATACGCTTGTAGCGTACTTCGGACGAGTCAAGTTATATTGGTTGTACTGTATACATTGTTTGGAATGTTTCAATGTCTTTTACGGTTTGTTTTCTATGTTTAATGTTTTATATAATAATGGTGGAATGTAAAGCAACGTATATAATACATCGATGGTGACAACGGCAACTCGAGATTAATAGCGAACATTATTCAGTACAATTTTATGTGTTGTCCGTACAGAGTTATGAGCACATTTCCAATAGTGCCAAGATGTTAAAGGTTGGAAAACCTTGCTAGGTCTTGTGTTATCGCGATCAACGGGTTACTCACTCCACTTTAATGTTCGACATTAATCGATAACTTTACTTGTAATCTGAATACACTGGGTACATGATACAAATATTATTTTCACTAAATTTTCATATTAACTTTGCAATCATTTCAACAGTTCACTGATGTACGCATTTGTTCAATGGTGGGCATTCAAAGGTAATCTGTTATCGACAAATTTCCCAAATATTTTCACTAAAATTATTTTATAAGAAAATTACGTAATATTCTATGATTTTCCTCCTGAATATGATTGCAAAGTTAAATAAATTCTGTTATATTTTCTTAAGTTTAATATTTTTATCTACTCCAAGTTTACAGACGAAATTAACACACTAGTTATAATGCGAACACATAGATACACTGCCACGACACTATGGCACAGATCTTATTAAAATATTAAGATTATAAATGTCCTTTATATGTATTGACGGTGACAAACATATGGATAACAGCAGAACACTCGATACTGACTTCTACCATATTCCAACTTATAATGTTAATGAAACTGGCAACTTTATCATAGAAAAAACATCCTAAGAATCGCCAGAAATCGGGATGACTTCGACAAAAGAGATTCAAGTACCTATCACTCTCATACAAACTCTTAAAATAATATATACAAAGCGCTCGAAACCATACAATCAAATTCACAAATCGACCGGAAAATATATTCAAATGAACATTAGTAAGGAAAAGTTTCAGTACATGGAGTTAGTAAAGAAAACTAGGTCATAGCAACTGTGGCTAATCACAAGAGAGCGGTTGGTCGGATAGATTAAATACCCATAATTAAATACAAAACATTTTAATACAACTTTACATCTAATACCTACGTTTACAAATTTCTGATTAACATTTGTTTGATAAATAAGTAAACACAATTATTTTTATTATATTTACAAGCAGATAACACGATCCGTACTTAATAATAAAGCATTTTAAATAATAACACACTGAGAATTGACGTAAAGGCGTTTTTGCTACACTGATGGCGAGCCAGCCGGTACAATCGAGGGCTACCCAGACTTCCAACGCGTCGTCCAAGTTGTTCCCCACGCGACGGTCGATGCAGCGGTGGTCCGGCGCAACACTCGTGACTGCCGAGACTACTATTTGCTCTTTCCACAGAAAAACCTTTTTTCCTTTTAGAGCACGAGTCCGACCGCTGGCACAAGAGCAAACGAGCGCCACAATGTTACACGAGCTTAAGGAATTTCACAGCTCCGGACGTCGTCCCGGCTCGGCGTTTTTTTCCCATTCAAATGTTTACTCTCTCGCTTCAGCTACCATTCATGCGGCGTTTGAAACGCCGCGGCCACCGCGGCCGAGCTAACCTAACGCTATCCAGTTCACGTCACTGTAATAATACTGCGATAGTTGACTAATACTCTGTCCACTCACAATGTCCATCGACAGCTGGCAACGGAACGCGCGAAGCGTTGAAGCGTAAATGCTGCTAATGTGTTGAGGGTGCGCGCGGCCTACGTGCCGTCGCAGTTCCTCCGCCTCTGAGGCCGGCCGTGGTGGTGACGCGTGCCGTGGCACGGCGCCGACGGCCGGTGCCTACGCTGCGGACGCACCGGGCGGGACCTGAGCATGTTGCCGGCGCGCTCTAGGTTGTGCCTGTCGACGTCGAAGTCTTGGGCCTCGATCATGAAAGAGAAACACTTGTGCAGGCGCTCCGTGAGCCGGCTCTTCCCGCGCCGCAGCTGCAGGCCCCTCCGGTTGAACCCTATGTAGCGGTCTTCGTTCTTCACCAGGTGGTATCTGTTGTAGCCGTCCACAAACTCCTCTTTGAATAGGCAGTTGGGTTGTCTCTCCGCTTGGAAGTAAGTCTGTAGACAATTGAAATAAAAATGTAAATAACAATTATTACAATTTGAAAAGGAACAAGTCAAAATGAAATTTGATATTGATACTTACCAATCGTCTGCCCACTAGTCGGGACCGGTTGAAGCAGAGGTACATGTCCTGCATAGGAGAGTGGATTAGCAGCTCTAAGTTGATGCCGCTGATACTCATGGTGAGATTCGCTGAAACAATAGATAATAAAAAATTAATCAAATTGTTCAAAACATGAAAAAATGGGGCAGGAATGTCAGAAATGTTGTGAACAGGTAATATTTTTATAACATTCATTTGATTGTAAGAATGCTGTTCACATTAAAAAATACTAATATTACTACAACAAACACGGGCTAATGAAACATAAATCAAACTTTCTTCCCGAAGAATTAATTAACTCATAAGAGTAGGAATTAATGAATAGAAAGTAAATATCCAAAGAATTCCCGATCTTTACTCCTGCTTGTAGCAATAACAACACCCCAGGTGCATATTTTCTAATTTCAATCAACGCCGATGGCCGTGCTCACGTAATAAATTCAATTTATATTGTGGAAGGGTTACGGGCGGAGTCAGGTGCAACAAACTAATCGTTAATGATATTTGAACACTAATAAAGTACAAGAATAAAATGTCGATAAATATTAATCTATTGCTGGACATCCAATACATGGTGGGTTAGAAGCGGCTTACATGCCGTACGAATAGGGCATCATTTTTGTTCATCTTTATTTACTGAGTCTTGTATTATTGTAATCTTATATTGATTTAAATTTATTTATTTTAAGTGAGAATATAATTGGATAAATATTGTCCATACAACAATTCCTAGTTATATCGTATTAACACAATATCTCTTACAGCTTTACAATAATTTAATAACAGCTCAGTTATCGTCACTGACATTGTGAACCGAGTGATATTGTGAAATATTTAATTTAATTTGACCACACACAATGTTTTAAATTGAATAGATAAAGTTACTAATAAATCTGGAATTTTATGAGACATTCTGATAACAAAAGACGAAATATAAGTGGTTAGATTTAAAGAATGACATTGACAGTCCATGTTTTTATCAATTTAACAGTCAACTGGCAAATATTTACGATGAAAACTCGTTTGCCTAATTACTCACTTGAATAAATGCGTATTATATTCGAAAACTATTCATAAATTTAAGTTAATCGTATAATATTGTCTCGCCATGTAAACGGCAATAACTCTCCACAGATAACATATATTATAGGGAAGAGAAAAGTCGATGTATGGTATTCGATGTCCAAACTGGCTGGTTTTAAAAGAATGAATAAAAATAAAACTGCGTGTACTTGGACACGCCGCCTATGACACCGGCCGTGTCATTTCAATTAACATTAAAAGAAATAAAAATGCTTTGACTCGAACGAAACATAAATTCGTTATAATTTCGGTGTGACTGAATAGTTGTGTGCGTGTGAAAGCGGAAATGTACGAAGCGGTCCACACGTTTGACAGACTTTACATTCATGTAATTTAAATATGGCTACGTATTGGAATTTAATGAACCAATATTGATATTGGATATTTGTATTATCAACTGTCTAGACTTTTGATATTCTTATTTTTTTATCTGATCCTAAATTACCACTATTTGGTGTATAATTCTGAAGACGATTTTGATGACAAATTAGTATACCTCGAACCTCGATATATTTTTCGATTAGAAAAACAAAACACCATCATCATCATCATCGTGTTGAACCATTTTCAGTTACAAAATCGAAGTCGACAACATCATATTACTTTAAATAGCATCAGTTTACACCCCGCGGTTTCGCTCGCGTAGCAATAGGAAAGCGTAGCTTTTATTCAGCCCCCTAACTACCTCCTACTATGTTTCCATTCCATTGTGACGTAAAAGATACAAACAAAGAAACACTTTTGCGTTTATAATAGTTATCTATTATTATTGAGGATAATAACACATTTTTCATACATTACACATAGAAACAACGAAGTATTTAACATCAAACATCTGCAATCATTGTACAATGTTCAAGAAACAAGAAAAATGTTAATCTGTAGCTCAAGTACGTAACAGCTTACTTAAATATTTTCTTTGCTTTTACGACAATCGTAAGTACGGTAAAGATAACAAGGAGCTGTGTTTTAATGTTCTTATTATCTAATCCGTATTTGTATGTAAGATATCGTCACGTGACAAATGTTAATAATATATTTTAATTTAAGTATTTGTTATATGAAAGATTATAATTTAGTCCTTGGATTAGTGTTGTTTCGTTTGCAGTTAATGTTGTAATTACAGCTCTTTTCTTAAGGGCTAGGTTAGACATTATAAGTACACAATCGTTTTTAAGTTACTTCTGAAGACCTCATTGCCGTATCACGACACTTTTGCCCAAACTCCTTGATATGAGACTTTATACACGAAAACCATTTATGAATTTCATCTGATCAAATCTAGATGGCTAAGCCCCGGGGCGAGTCCACGTCTCTCCAAATCAACCAGCCTATAAAAACTAAACTTCTAACATACCACCAAACCATACAGAGTCTATATAAACGAAACACACATTACAACATTTTTGGAAAACACACACAATGATATTATACATTATATTTATTTTTCCGCCACTTGAATGTCCAAAGAACCGAGAACAGTAAACTTGGAATTTTATCAAAACTAATTACATAACAGACGCTTACCTACATATTTATCATAATTTATTTATGATCGCAACTGATAGATCAAATATTAATAGTACAACATCATTGTTTGCTGTATCATGTAAACCTAATTTTATTTCGCTTACCAGCTATATTAGAATAAAACTGAATCGTCATGTGTGACCGTAGACTTTTGCTTGAAGCTTGAATTTGTTTTTTTAAATAGTGTCAGACTCTTGCTGACTAAAAACCACACCGTTCCTACACCTGCTCTTCAACAACCGACAACAATCCTCTGCGGCTAAAAAACTATCACAAAATTTACTCAAAGTAGTTTTCCCAAGCTATGTTTACGGAAAAATCGTTTAAAGTCGGTCCAAGGGCCGTATGACCGACTTAAGGTCGACGGGACTTTCTTTCAGACGTAACGGAGCGAGTAAACATTGCCCAACCTTCGTAATAGGCTAATTTTGTAAAGACAACATAATCTCAAGTTTGTAAAGTAAATATTCTTTGAAGTGCCGACCGACGCTTGTAATTTCACTAGAACCATCTTTATAGGTACCTTAAGGTCACTATTTAGCTTCCAGTGATTGATGGAGTTGTGAAACTTTATTGTTACTGTACAAATTGTGTAGAAATAGGTAGTTTTTATTTGTTGCAAAATGTGTTAACTATGTTAAGGAAATTTTTAAGTTTTTTTATTTTAAAGTGTAAAAATAGTAAAATAAATATATTATTCAAGTGAGTATTTGAGCTGCACGTATTGCTTATGCCCATTTTCATGATATAAATAAATATATAAATAGTAAAACTTAAATAATAATCTTTTCCCAAACATTTCCTTAGGAATTCAACTAGGTAACAAAAAGTTATAAACTTTCTAGAAAGTAACTATAAATATTTGGAAGTTAGCCGCCGCGTCGGGGTCAATGACCTGCTATCGATACCGATACGATAACGATATCGATAATCTTTGTACTTGTTACCTGAATTCTCTAAGCGACATCTCATGTATCACTTTACACGACAATAAAACCATTTATTGATTTTTCTATTCGTATATCTTAATACCGTTGCTTATAAAAGTTAAAATCTATATTCCTTAACATTATAGTGTAGATATAGTTGGACAGCCTATAATTTTCTTAAAATAGGATTTTTACACATGTCAATGGGTAAAGGTACGACTGCAAAATGAGCCTTGTGGTCGATTATTCTAGTCGGTAAAGTTTATAACAGTTTTTTATGTGATAAGCCGGTAAACGAGCAGTCGGATCACGTAATGGTAAGCAATCGGTGCCGCCCATCGACACCCGAAACACCAGAGGCATTAGAAGTGCGTTACCGACCTTTTCAGGATTATTGGGGATTCAAGGCTTTGGGAAGATTGGGGAGGAGGGTAATTGGGCCTCCGATAACCTCACTCACATTACAAAATACAACGCAAGCGTTGTTTCTCTTTGGTTTTCTGTGAGGCATGGTATCAAGCCGGCCTATTCGAGCCGAAGCATGGCTCTTCCACACTTAACACTAAGGCTTACATGTCTTTAAGTTCTTGCAAAATTTCTAAACATCACGCACGGTGTCTGAAATAGTGCTGAACTCCTCATAGCAATAGACTCACCCCCAATTAAAAGTAAACAGTTTATAGGACGGTATATTTTTCATTTGTGTCTACTTTTGTGGGGTTCTAAAAAACGTAACATTATGTCTACGTATTGTTACATTTCATTTAATCTCTAGTTACGCAATTCGCAACTCTTTAATCGTATTAAAACACGCCCAATGGTGCATTATTATCTGTAGGTAGGTATTTAAGACATTTTATCCTTAATACTATAGTTCGATTTCTGGGTGTGGTCAGTATGAATGAATGCAAAATCTGTTATCTTAATATTTGATATGAAATTCAATCAAATCTGTCAACAGGAAATTGAGGATAAATAAGCGTTTACAACAAACATCGATTAATCCAGGTACAATGAATGAGCTGTTCTTATTTTTTTAATGAGTAATATCTACTTATGTATCCGAATACTTCTTGATTTTCTTGTAAGTACTTGTATTTATCACAAACATATTGTTTACTTTCAAGATTCCGAAGAACGTAATCGACCTGATTTACCGATAATGGTAGTAGTTCACTTACTCAACCTTTGTACTTGTTAAGCGTGATTAATGACCATTAGATTAAACAGGGATCCCATAAATAGGTAAAATACTTTTGTTTAAAACAAAGCAAATATTATAGGTATGTACAAAGTTAAACAAATATACGTATTTCATGTCACATGATACGCTGCCAGTATGTCTGTAATATTTCGTTTCTATCAATTCTGTATTCAGCCTTGGACATTGTAATCTATTTGTAAACATTGATTTACGTAACTATTGACGCATACATAATTTTACGCACATTACGATAAGTTTAATGAAACTTCAACTGTCAAACTTGAGAAAATACCAATTATCTCAAGAGTACTAACAGTCCATATTAGATTGAACTTAGGTACTT